TTTAGCTAACTTTTCTAGTCAACTCTAATATTCTTAGACCTTACACAATTCAACATCTATATACACCAATTGAACAAATTCTTACTACACATAAACTTTATATACAATTCAAAAAACAACTATGTACTAAAAAGATAATGTACCTTGAACAACTAATATCACACAATAACTCTGTATTACTTGACTGGAAACATATATCTCTAAGAATTCAACATATACCTAAAGGCTGTAAGTCACTATAGTTTACTACTTTAGAAAACACAATTATCACTGATCATCAATCCAGATTAATTAGTTTCCAATTACAATTATCTCACACCAACTCTATTTCATTTACTACTGAATACTACAAAAATACACCCAAATCTTGGATAATTGCTTATGATCATAAACAGAACAATATTATTATATACAAAACAAGAAAATACAACCAAACAGAAGACACAATCTCAATAACACATTGGCTAATTAACTTTGATACTTCACATACTTACCTATACTCTTCAATTAACTATACCTGTAAACAATGCACAGAGTGCTACCTTAATTCCAATTGTATACAAAACAAATGCATATTTAATATTCCTACCAACTTTACAACCAAATTCCTAGGCAGAAAAGTCAACTTCAATTCCTCTACCATACTCAATCTTTATACAAATCTACTTGACTTATTATATTTTATCACATTACAAAACCCTACTACAATACCTCCACAACCTGATATTGTTGTGTATAATAATGCTATACCTGACATCTTTGTACAAAATCAAGCTACAGAAATTCTTCAACAAATTGCACACAACAACTCATACTACTCATAGTTTACATTTTATACTGATGGCTCTTTAAGTAATATTACCAATAACAGATGCAAAACGGATATTGGTTGTATTCAAATTCAAGATAAGACTATATTGCATCAATATTCAGCAGAAATTAAACTTTGGCCTTCATCATACAAAGCAGAACTTACAGCAATCCTCTCTGCTATTAACACATGCCCAAAACAGAGTACTATTACTATTTATACTAACTCACAATCAATAATTTCCAAATATAATAAGCTTACACAGTCACCACCTACACCTAACAAAATATACTCTTTTAACTATTGGCCAATATGGCACATACTCCTAAACTTTATTACTGCATATCAAATTCAAATCAATTTCCAAAAAGTAACTGCACATAGTAGTAATATGCTAAATAACATAGCTGACAAACTAGCTAAAAACCAAAACCAACCACATACACTTAGTCTTCTTCATATCAATATATACAATCTATTATATTACCTCTATCATGACAAATATGTTATAGAACAACCTACATGTAGAACTATCAAAAATATTAGTAATGTTTATAATATAGCAATATGGTTTTTTTAACATCAGATGAAAAACATTCTTCCTCTATTCTTGCAAATTAACTGAAATGCTATCTGGCTTTTCCTTAACAACAATTAAAAAGATTTACATCTTATACCAGTTTTACTTTATGTCAAGAAAAAACATTCAAAATTAAGCTGATACTAGGAATACTATCTACATTATCTTACTTACATTCTCTTTATCTAACAACATATCCTAATCTTAATTGCATTTTATGCAATACATCTGACAGTCAGTTACATTAACTAACCTGACCAAACTCACTTATACTTAACTCAACTATCACCAATATGATACAACAATTCTTTAATTATTCATGACTAGATATAACAACTACACAACTACAAGAACTACACAATAAACTTATTAATAATCCATGTCTCTCTCCAAACAATCTCATTAGAAATTACACAAATATATACACAACAATACAAGGCTTTGTTTCATTCTTACTAATTAATATTATATGAGAATACACAATTAGCAATCAGCTAGCAATTGACATTACAATAAAATTTTTAATTCAATTATTACAAAATATCTACAACCAAATTTGAAAACCTTATTGCATCAAACTATCTGAATGGAAGCAACAAACCAATATTCCTAACCAACTATCATGTAAACAACAAACAAACTATACAAATACATCTAGATTCTTAATACAAACCAGAACAGTATATACTTACAGTTGCACTTGTGATCTTCTTGATCAACAACATATTGAAAACTTTTACAATTCTTATACTTGCCTACCATAAGGAAAAGCTAATAAAAAACTAACTAAATAGATATCTAAATAGATAAACTACAGTACTCTAACTAATTATATTTTATATTATCAAATCTAAGTGAGTTTTAACCACTCTAGTAGGTTTAGGTTGCAGATAAATTAGATAAATTAGATAATAATTTCATCTATAGTCTGAGTCTCATTTTTGTAACAAATTTGTAAATTGGCTCTGACCTGTGTTAACTTATATAGTTGCCTATAACAAATTATTAATAAAGATAAAGGCAAAACTTTACCTTAACACCAAAAAAAAAACAAAAAAAAAAACAAACTAAAATTTATATAATACTAGTTTTTTATATTTTTTTATATATATATAATATTACATTTTGTATAGATGCTCTAAGTTTCTAATATCAAATAGGATTCAACTTAATGTACCTAAGATTACAAATACTTAAATTCAACTAATTAATAAAAGACAGTTTTTATAATACAAATATAATTTTTTCAAAATTCATCATTCATAGAAATTAATTTTAGATTTATTATTTTAAGGTTAACAACCTGTTCACTTTACTAAGTTACTATATTTCTTATAATAATTATATTAATAAAATTAAAATTATAAGTAAAAATATATAAATTTACAATTGCTAATTGTACAAAACATTATTAAATAATACTTTATATAATTAACAATTTGTAAATCCTTATATTTTTTATTTTTAACTCCAAATATTTTAAGTTAATTTTAATAATTTAACTATTATTAGAACTAGAAAACCCTTTTTTTACAACTTTATTTAAAAACAAAAAAATCTTTTCTAATTATTAAAAGATTATTTTAACTAATTATATAATTAATAGTGGTAAATCAAATATTTGACTTAAAGAACATAATAAAGAATTGAATAGCTTTAATTGAAGATCTTCTTAAAACTATTTGATGTTTAACTTTGTAACTTTAAACAAAAAAATAATGAAATACTAAAAAATATTAGATATACTGCATATTTAAAGTTTAAAGTTATATTTATACTTACTTTCTTGAGTAAATCAAAAAATACAATTATTTTTACAAATTTTATATATAAAATTATAGTAAGTCATCTCATTGGATCTATAAGTAATCACATTAAAAGAGGCATGTTCTATGCCTTATATGTATACAATATATATATTTAAATATCTATAGAACATTTACAAAGTTATCGATATCCTACATTGATTAATTATTCAAGCTTACAAATCAAAAATAATTTATATTATCTATAAAAATTATAATATCTACTAGAATCTATTAAGCAAGTATCTATTTTTAAATGAATAAATGTACAATGAATCTATGATTAATTAATCTTTCTAATTACTTTAAAGATTTCCCATTCGTCAAGTTTATACCACCCATTCGGCAACACAGCAGGTTCATAACATTCAGATTTAATGATGCAAGTTACGCTGGCTGGAATATACTCCCTAGAATATTCAGCCCAATCTTCTTGACCCTTATCGTATTCGAAGAACAAATCACCCGTTCCAAATTTCAATAATAGATGACCATTAACTTCGTACCTTCTTAAAGCATGCTCAACGTTCTTAACTCTGCTTAACTTAAAATTAGTGGCATACTTATCATTACTTGAAAATAAAAAACTTTCTGTGGTAGGCACACAGTTCATCAAAGCTTTTGAATATTCTTTATAACCTCGTCTTGGTTTTTTGCTTGTCACAGAGTGATCATATTTGGGTAGCCTATATTTAGACCAATCTATTGGATTGTATGCACCCACATATTGACCTGTTTCTTGAATTTTCATTATCATAAGTGATGGCCCATGATGACAATTTATAGTGGGCAAGGGGCTATTATACGACTTTCTAAATTTATAAACTCGTTCGAATGTAAAAGGCATGTTGAATCCTGTATATGATTTTCGATCGATCCATGAGGCTATCAGACCTGCAAATTTACTGCTGAGAATATGTGGTTCAAAAGATTTATTAATACGTGGTGGAATTTTAGCAAGTATTTCCTCACGAGGGATGATTGATTTAAAGGTAATAGTGATTGTATCTAAATCTTCTTTAGCCATATTGTTGTATTGAATTAGCTTTAATCCTTTTCTTAGTGTTTTGCCTAATGCTTTAAGCTTGTTAAATGAAAGGCAAAATGGCACTGTCAACGCATCTAATCCTGGTGTGTTCGCCATTCCCCATTGAATTAATTTGTTGAAAATATCAATCTCTGACATTCCAATGATATTTAATTTTAAGATATGTAAGAGTAAATCTTCATCGATTGTTTTGAATTTGGATGACCCGAAAAATATAGAAGGGTCATCATCAATTATATCTTGACAAAATAAGTATAAATCTTTAGCATTTGGTATTTGATAAGAAATTGAGAGAAGTGTAATCAAGTCTTCATTATTCCATTGAGACCTTTTTTCAAATAATTGAGATTTTATGTGATCGAAAAGTTCTTGAAGAAGCAGGACATCGGAAGCAATCAATAATTCAGCTAATATGGAAATGGTGTCATGCTCGCCTAACGAAATACACCCGCTGTAAATATACCTATATATTCACCAGGATAAATTAGAGAGATTCGCAATCATAGCTGTTAACAACATTCATAAAATTAAATGCTTACTTGAGTATTAATTCAAACGTATCAGCTGAAAAGTTCAAACCACTTAAATTTAAGACAAATTTATCACCAATTTTTCTCGCCCATTGTTGAGATAAAGCGATCTTAAAATATTCGCATCTGCCATAAAGTATAATCGAATGTGCTTGAAAAGTTTTTATGTTGGCCAATTCACTACCAACCTCAATAATGGTGTCATAAAAGTCACCTTTGTCTAATAAGACTAACAAATTTTGCGAAAGCGTTGTCAAAAAATTAGAGGACATCATTATTGGACTTGTTTGAAACTTGTTCAATAAATAGTAACAATGCAAAATATAAACATTAAGCTGTTTGCGCATGTACATGTGAATTTCGTTATTCGAATGCATTGAAGTACGTACATTATCATTATTTGACAGCAAATATTTGATAATTACCCAATGGTTACCAAACATGATATTTTTGGTTTTCAAAATAAAATCGTGGTTACTCTTTATAAAAAATAGTGTTAACTGCACTTAATTTCGCCACAAGAAAGCATTGTGTGAACTAACTAGATTGTTATAAATTCTTAATACTTCATCGAAGTTAATTTTTCATTTCAATTTTTTTTTGACCATTGATCATTGGAAATCAATTTAACAAAAATCAAATATTATCGTTGTATCATTTTCGTTTTATAAAGATGCTATTCAGGTCTCTATTAATTCTATTGTTTGTTACAATCATCCTTGTGGGCGATAGCAAAAATCAAGATGGTTTCGATTATCGTGAGTACTAAAAAATTTTAATAATTTTTATTTTTATTATCGTTGTGCAATAAATTTCTCATAACCCCTTTTCTTTTAATATAGTTTCTCCCCACATACTTTTTACACTTCTTTTATAGGTTAATATGAATTTTTTTATACATATTAATATGGAAATTTTATCAAGTCCAAACCGCAAATTAACCGCATAAATATATAACATTAACACAGTAATTTTAACAACACTTTTTTTTAATTTTTTGGTTTATGTATAATTTTATAAACTACAATAGGATCATCATCTCAATTTAAATATTGGCTATTTATGTACGACGTACGTACTTATGCACGTAACATGAATTTTTTATTAAGTGCGTGCACCTCTTGTAATAATTTTATACGTAGTATAATTTGTTATCTGTTGTACACTTTATATTTGATATTTGTAATACGGTTTTTTTTTTAAAGAAATTTAATCTACCAATTAAATTTTATGATTAATATAAAAATTTGAATTTTATGATGTTAACGAGCCTTGAATGATTCTTGCATAATTGACATAATTTGGTTTTCAATTCTAATATTGTTAGACTTCAGAACCGATTCTGTCAAAACTAGCAACTTGTCAAATTTAAAAAATCAATTTATCAAGTTATTTCTACACACAGTACGTACAAATCTAATTGTCCTGTTCAGCAATATGGGTATACAAATGTGTGTGTGTTCGCAAATTACAGGTTGATCAAATCAATCACTATGCTTAACCCAAATTATGAGATTTCAAATGGTTTTCATTTGCCTAATAGTTCTTCAAATGTGAGAACTTATAATTGTATTTGTTTACTACGTATGCATATTCGTTTTGAAAGGTTTGAAACCAAATACTTATTGTTTTTAACAGTTTACTAATTAAAATATATCTATATGCAAATTATAAAATTTATTTTTTAAATTGTAATATAGGCAAATTTGCTTATGTTTTTTTAAAAATTTAATTTTTTAAATCAAAATTTAAATATTAATTTTATCAATATATTTTTTAAGTAAAAAATTTTTAACAATTTAGTTTTCATTTATTATAAGAGTGTGAAAATAAAAAACCTAAAAGTAAATATTTAAATATTTACAGTAACAAACTTAGTTTTTGATAATTGATGTTTTGAAATTACTTATTAATATTATGATTTTTTAAAGACTAACACAGGTCGAACGAATGAATAAAGGGTGAATAATAGGTAAATAACAGAAAAAAAAACTGCCATTATTCTACCCTAT